TCAAGGGCATGGAGACAGCATGTTAAGGGTTCATACGTGTTGTTATTGGAAAGACCCTTAAATATCATTTGTCCTTAGTGTTTTGTTTGGCTAATAAAACAGAGACCCAGAGTATAAAAGACTTGTGTGAGGTTGACAGTGTGTCAGGTGGCTGTGAACTCCCTGCTCCAGGTTCCTCACCCTAAGAGGGTACCTCTTCCCCAGTTTCCCACTTGCTCTGGATTCTCCGCCCTTGTGGCAGGTGGGGTGGGGCAGAGGGGGGTTGAGAAAAAGGCAGGGCTTTCAGACATGTCCTCTGCAACCTGTGTTTTTTCCCCTATTTTTACCTGGAGTGTCTTTTTTTTTTTTTTTTTTAAAGATTTTATTTATTTAACAGAGAGACACAGCGAGAGGGAACACAAACAGGAGGAGTGGGGAGTGGGAGAAGCAGGCTTCCTATGGAGCCAGGAGCCCAATGTGGGGCTCAATCCCAGGACCCTGGGATCATGACCTGAGCCGAAGGCAGACGCTTAACGACTGAGCCACCCAGGCGCCCCTACCTGGAGTGTCTTGAACTCCTGCATGAAGTGATTTGAGTGTGGGAAGCTGGTCAGGGATGGCATTCAGCTTAGCTGCTTTTATCAGCCTAGGTGGCACGAGGTTGGCTCTCCCCAAGCTGCTGCTACTCTTAAGTCCCAGACCCAGTAATTGGTCCCACTCCATCCTGCCATCAGCCTGTTTACAGGTTGGCTTTTTGGTGAAGAGATTGCATAGGGCAGAAAAAACAAAATCCCTCCTCGCTTTTTTCCTGAACACTCCTGAGAATGCTCCCTCAGCAATTCTAGGGGCAAAATGATTGTCTCCTTGCTTCTTGCTTCTCATTAGACACAACGGGGCACCAGATTTGACTCCTAGGACTTTGGATATTATGGTTATCTCAGGTTTAAATTTTTCTTTTTTTTTAAAGATTTTTATTTTTATTTATTTATTCGAGAGAGAGAGAGAATGAGAGATAGAGAGCACGAGAGGGAAGAGGGTCAGAGGGAGAAGCAGACTCCCTGCCAAGCAGGGAGCCCGATGTGGGACTCCATCCCGGGACTCCAGGATCATGACCTGAGCTGAAGGCAGTCGCTTAACCAACTGAGCCACCCAGGCGCCCTCAGGTTTAAATTTTTATCCCGCCCTCTCATTTTCCACCTTCAACTTGGTTCTTTGCTTACATCTGGAAGAACTCAAAAAGTTAATTAGTAGATATGAGGGGTGGCCTGCTCCAGCAGAATTGCAGGGTCATGGTATCTCTGTGATCCTTTTTTTTTTTTTTTTTTAAAAATTTTATTTATTTACTTGAGAAAGAGAGAATGAGAGGTAGAGAGCACGAGAGGGAAGAGGGTCAGAGGGAGAAGCAGACCCCCGCTGAGCAGGGAGCCCGATGTGGGACTTGATCCCGGGACTCCAGGATCATGACCTGAGCCGAAGGCAGTCGCTTAACCAACTGAGCCACCCAGGCGCCCGGTATCTCTGTGATCCTTAGTTATTCTGGTTCTCTCTGGTAGCGGTTTTTCTGGTAACAGAAAATCAAGGTATCACTGTGTACACTCAGGTGAAGGACTGAGGGTGGTTCTTCTAGAGACTGCGGATGACCCACAGTTTTTCAATTTGGATAATTTCTCTTGATCTGCAGATGTCTTGGACTCTTTTCTGTGTCATCTCCATTCTGTTCTTAAGCCCTTTCAGAGGATTTTTGTGGTTGTTGTTTCAGGTGTTACATTTCTGTTCTGAAATTTCCATTTTTTTTTTTTTTAAAGATTTTATTTATTTAAGAGAGAGAGACACACAACACAGGTGCCTGAGAGAGGGAACACAAGCAGGGGGAGTGGGAGAGGGAGAAGCAGGCTTCCCGCGGAGCAGGGAGTCCGATGCGGGGCTCGATCCCAGGACCCTGGGATCATGACCTGAGCTGAAGGCAGACACTTAACCGACTGAGCCACCCAGGCGCCCCTGAAATTTCCACTTTTCAAATAAAATTTTTTTCACTTCCTCTGCTTAGCTATAATTGCTGCTTTAATATCCTTGTCTGATAATTCCAGTATTTGGGTCATCTTGGAATTGCCCTCTGCTCATTGTCTTTTCCCTTGCAAATTGGGTATAGTTTTTCTAGTTCTTCATGTAATCTGGGATTGTAGCCTGAACATGAATGTGTGTGGATGTTATGTTGTGGAGACCCTGATGATTTCTGGTGATGTTTTTATTTTAGCGGGCAATTACCTAAGATTCAAAACTGCAGGGTCTGTCTCCCCTATGGGGAGTGGGTATGCAGTTCAAACCTTAGTCCAGTTCTTTGGTCCTTGGCTGAGGTGCTTGGGTTCTGCCCTGTGTGTGCACGGTTCAGGGCTCAGCTAGAAGTTTGGATGGAGTTCATACACAGCACCTGGGACTTTGCTTCTCTGGCCCTCTTTCTTATTTCCCATTACCTGTGGCTGCTCTGGACTCTGTGGTTCCTCCAGAGAGAAAGCCTGGGGTTTATTTTTCAATTGGCACTGCCGCTGGTCAGCCCTCTGGTGAGAGCTCCAAAACTGGGGAATTCGTCCCATCCCAGCCCCTTCTCCCAGTTTTTGACTGCTCTCCAAAATCTGCCGGCCTTTGTTAACTTCAGATAGTTTTTTACATTTTATCCAAAGTTTATTGTGGTTATCTGTTGGAGGATAATACTGGAACCAGAATCACCTCATAGCATTTTTACCCGTTATCAAAGTGTTTTGGGAACAAAAGTGAACATATTTAGAGAGCTTCAGTCTTCAGCAATCATATAAGGATAATTGGATGCATTTTTTTCCAGTGTAGCTTATTATCTCAGGTGGACTCAACCGTGTTCATTTTAACTTGCTTTGCAACCTTGGGTAAGTCTCTTCTCGTGGGACTCACTTTCTCCTCTGGCACATGAGGCAGTTGGACTCTCCGTGGTCTGTAAGGGTTCCTTTCATCACTGCTTCTAGACTGACAGACAGACAGACAGACACTACCCACACATATACACTGCCACCACTATCTCCAGCAAAAGTTAACGAGAAGCCGCAGAAGAGGTGCCAGAGGGAAGTGGTATGGGCGGATCTCCCAGGGTGGAGAGCTCTCTGAAGGGGCAGCACTAAAGAGTATGAGGATCTTTGCAGTCAGCCTCTTGGGCTGGGGACAGAAGGCCAGTATGCCAAGGATGCAAGAAGTAAATGACATTCAGAAGCAAAGGAAAGAAAGGAGTAGCCCCCTGGGCCTTAGTAATATGCCGGGAAATGTGGCAGGAGGCTGTGGGGGCAGTAGCTCTCAGCGGTGCTGCTGTCATTGTTGGGCCAAGTGGAGATAGAGCAGATTGAAATAGCAATTATACATGGTCTACTTCGACTGACTTTTTAAAAAATGTGTGTGGCGGGGGGAGCGTTTCTGGGGGAAGCTAAAACTTCTCCCACATCCACTCAGGCCATCCCTTGGGTGCTGACCCTGGTATAGATCTTTTTTCCTACTTTTCTATTTTTATTGCTTGTCACTAATTCTTTTCTGTTCTGGTCTTACTGGCTTGAGGCTTCAGGCCCTCATATTTCTTTTAAAGATTTATTTATTTGAGAGCATGTGCAAGAGGAGGTGGGGGAGGGGCGGGGGCGGGGGAGAGAGGATCAGTGAGGAGCCTGACTCCGGGCTGCATCTCATGACCCTGAGATCATGACCTGAGCCAGAACGAAGAGTTGGATGCTCACTCATCTTTCTTTTAAAGCCATTTGAAAAAACTATCATTCAATTATCTCTCTATTTTAATTTTAAGCCGTCTCACTCTAGGAGCATAGAGGAGGGCTGGACACCGTGTGTGTGTTATGGGGTTGGTAGTAGAGGTGGAAATCTGACTAAAGGGACCAGCGGCCTCCGAAGGAGGCCACAAGGTAGTCTGTGGGATGTGTAAGGGAGGGATGGGCCATGATGATGGGAGAAGGGGGTTGGTTTGTGTTTACGATCAAGTAGGGAAGCTTTACTTCCCGCGTCGAAGGTATCTTTCCATTCTTTGGCAAGACGAGGATAGACAGAAGTTTGCCCCAGATCTTCCACCTCTAGTAATTCTTCTGAAACTTTAGGGGTAACATTCAGTGGCTTAGTAGACCTCTCAGGTCTCCGGCAGAATGCTTGTTACAAAACCAGAGGGTAATTTTCAGACAGAGAAGCCCTACTTGGTTCTAATTGACACTGGGTGGTCCAAGGCCCTTTTGAGGACCACATCTCGAAGGCAACCCAATGAGAGTCAGCCTGGTGAAGGGGCTTTTTTGTCAGACAGGCATGGGTTTAAATCCTGATGACTGCCATTCATTCATTCATTCAAAGATTTTATTTATTTATCTGACAGAGACACAGTGAGGGAACACAAGCAGGGGGAGTGGGAGAGGGAGAAGCAGGCCTCCTGCTGAGCAGGGAGCCCGATGCGGGGCTGGATCCCAGGAGCCTGGGACCATGACCTGAGCCGAAGGCAGACGCTTAACGACTGAGCCACCCAGGCGCCCCCTGACTGCCATTTATTAACAAGCTGTAAGATCTTGGACAAATCACTTGACTTCTTGAAATTTAGATTCTTTATTAGGGGATGATACTATTGTATTACTGTCTTGTATGAAATATAAAACATATTGCCCAGGGTGTGGTAGGTACTCCACAGATGTTTGGGCTTTTTTTTCTTACCCATCTTCTAGAACATCATATTTTTAGTAGAATCCTGGCTTTAGTCCTAAGCAGTTGTGTGACTCACCCTTTCCAAGTTTCAGTTTCTTTGCTTAAATCGAGGGCATTTAACTGATTTGTGAGATCCCTCCCAAGCTGTAAGATGTCATGAGTTTTAGACTTTTGGGGACTGTGGAGTCATGTTAATTTAAGAAAGACAACATAGTCTGCCTTGAGACCATATCATCAGGAAAAGGGAAGTCTCCTCTCCCTTCAGCTCAGTCTTGGTGCAATTCCCGCTTTACCTATGTCTTGCTTTCTGTTTATATTCTGTCCAGGTCAAAAGGCAGCTGCCATTGAAAGTTAGTGAGCGCCTGTTTCCAAGACAGCAAGCACCAGGGGGGCCACCAGGAGCATTAACGGAAAGCTTAAATTACCTAAATGGTAAGTATGCTGTACAGCGAAACCTGGCCACAGATAGAATTGCGTGGTTTCTGAAGTCTCTGCAATTTTTGCATCACTGCGGGAGAGGGAGGAAAGTTAATATTTGTTGAACCAAACGCTGTGCGCACTTAATTTTTTTTCTTTAAGATTTTATTCATTTGAGACAGAGACGAGGGGGGGCGGCGGTGGCAGAGGTAGAGGGACAAGCAGACTCCATGCTGAGCAGAGAGTCCGATGCAGGGCTCGATCCCAGGACCCTGAGATCATGACCTGAGCCGAAGGCAGACACTTAACCTACTAAGCCACCCAGGCACCCCCTTCATGTGTTTTCTAATGTAACCAGCCAAACAGCCAACCTACCCAAGGTAAAAATCCTCACTTTTAGTCAACAACTTTCAGAAATAGGCCTAAGCTAGCATTTGCTGAATACTTGGCTGTGCACCAGGCATGGTCCTGTTTGACATGCATTATCTCCTTTAGTATTTACACCGATGCTGCAGGTAAGTGCTGTTATTTTCACCCCAAGGAAATGAACCTGGAGACATTAAATAACTTCTCCAAGTTCACACAGGGAGTGAAGGGGGAGGACTGGATTTCACCCTGGGTTATTTTCATTATACTGTAATGTTTCTCTTTTGAGAAAGTTACTGTTTTTGGTTGAGACAGTGACTGACTTAATATTTTAAAAAACAAAGCAAAATAAACAAAAACCTGTCTTGGTTGACAGGTAAGTGATGAGCTAGCTAGCTAGCTCCTTTTCCTAGCCCTTCTGGATTCTGCACTCTAGTTATTTTCTTGGTTGTTGCTGACCAAGGCGGAGTGCTGTGAGGAAATAGAAGGAGATCACACTTGTATAGCCAAAGGACCAAACTGAGTGGTCTTGGTCACCAGGGGTAGCTGGAGAATAGCTAGAGGAAGGTTCTCTGGAAAGGTAAAGTGATGGGGCGGCCGCTGACTTGAGTCTGGGAACTGGTTCTACGCATGGTAGTGACAGGATAGGATGTAAGAAAGGAATCTCAACAAGACCTCTCACTCTCAGGGTGAGCCCTCCCAGGAAAGGGGGCACATCACACATAGCTCGGGCTCTTCTTAAGGGAGTGGGAAACTCCGAGACAAACTCTTGCCCTGTTACTTGGTTCAGGATTCTTGGCACGCCTGGGTGGCTCAGTCGGTTAAGCATCTGCCTTTGGCTCAGGTCATGATCTCAAGATCGTGGGATCAAGTCCTGCATCAGGCTCCTGCTCAGAGGGGAGCCTGCTTCTCCCTCTGCCTGCCGCTCCCCCTGCTTGTGCTCTCTCTCTCAAATAAATAAATAAACGTTAAAAAAAAAAATTGGCTCAGGATTCTTGTTCTGTTCCTTTCCCTAGAGCATTTTTCCTACCTCGGGGAACTGGGTTAGGAAACTCGTTCTGTTTGGGTGGTGTGGCAGCCGGCATTCGTTGTTCATAGATCTTTCTGATGGTATTATAGTCCCTTTTTATTGGAGCACCAGTGTTTTGTGGTTTTGTGTGTGTGTTTTTATGGAAATTCTACTTAGTTAATATATAGTGTAATATTAATTTCAGGAGTAGAATTTAGTGATTCATCACTTACATATAACACCCAGTGCTCATCACAAGTACCCTCGTTACTGCTCATCCCCTGCCCACCTTCTCTCCAGCAACATTTAGTTCTCTATAGTTAAGAAGTATCAATGTTTTTTAATATACTTGGTGAATTTGACCGGGCAGGTGATCATTTTCTTTAGCAAAACTTACTACGCATACCTATTGTACATAGAGTATTTTGTTATATACTGGGGCTTATGTTCTGGTGATACAAATTGACCACTTACTACATGCCTAGCACAATTCTTGGAGCTAAACAGCTCTAAACAAAACAACAATACAGCAGTAAACAAAACAGGAAAAGTCCTTGCTCTCAAGGATTATATACTAAAGGGTAGAAACATAAAAAAAGAGAATGAATAACTAGATAGAAACAAACAGGTAAGTAGATAAATAATGTCCACTAGGTGATAATATGCTCAGAAGAACAAAAGCAGGGTCAGGTGGCCAAGTGATAAGGTGCCTGAAGGACTGCTCCTTTATGTAAGGAGATCAGGGAAGGCCTCGGATGAGGTGGTAGTTCCAGCCAAGATCTGAGGGAGGTGAGGGATCCAGCCGAGGATATCTGGGAGAAAAGCATCCCAGGCAGAAGGAACAGCAGGTGGAAGATTCCCAAGGTATGAGTGTAACTTGTCCTTGATAAGGAGGCCTGTGTGGCTGGAGTGGAGTGGGAGGGAAAGAGTAGTAGGAGGAAGAGCAGGGAAGCAGTGGGACCCAGATCAGGGAGATGCTCAGAGCCAGGGTAAGACCTTTGGAGTGGATTTTATTCTAAGTGAGATGGGGGAGGCACTGGAGAGTCTGAGCAGAGGAGTGAATGAGCTGACTTCTGTTTTGAAAGGCTTCGTCTGATTGCTGTGGGAGAATAGACTGGAGCGGGGCAAAGGGGAGGGCAAGGCAGGCAGTGTGAAGTGAAACAGAGAGACCAGTGAGGAAACTCTTGCAGTGATCAGTACAGTCTAGGGGAGGGATGATGGCTTGGACTAGGGTCCTAGGGTGCATAGCCAGAAAGCAGTGGATTCTGGACATGTTTTGAAGGTAGGGTCAAATTCTAGATCTCCCTGTAGAAATGTTTGATTTCTCTCTGGACTTAACCTTTAGGTCACATGGGTTTGAGGGATCAGTGGACACTTGACAGTAATCCCTGGTGAAATTCTAAAATTGACTGAGCAAGGGATGAGAACACAGTGTCCCCTAGAAGCCACTTGTGTTCACTAAGTAAGTCATGCTAACTAATAACAGTTGTTTTCTTTTAAGTTCTGCCTAGTTTTTTTTTTTTTTTTTAGAGATTTTATTTATTTATTTGAGAGGGTGAGAGAGATTGAGAGAACGCGTTGGGGAGTGGCAGAGGGAGAAGCAGACTCCCTGTGGAGCAGGGAGGCCAATATGGGACTTGATCCCAGGACCCTGGGCAGTCGCTTAATTGACTGAGCCACCCAGGTGCCCATGCTCTGCCTTGTTTTTATTTAAACGATAGCGTCAGTACAAGTTTATTATAGAAATATTGAAAATAAAGATAAATAATAGGAAAAAATCAAACCATCCATAGATGATTACTACATATGACATTTTGATGTATGTCAGGACAATGCATTTTTGCAAAGATTATAGGTTGGATGGTCTGGAATATGCTACAAAGATAATGTGGTGTAAGTCTTACAGTTAGGTTTTTAACATTTTCTCATGTGATCCCAAGACAAAATTTTGGGCTGGCTTACAAGCAGGTATTGTGTAAGTATTAATAATGGATCAGTGTTTACCAGGAAGGGCTGTTTTTAGTGGCATTCTGGATGGCTGTTGTTATATTTTAACAGTTTGAACATAAGCACCAATGAAGATATAGAAAAGGTGTGCCTATCATATTTACAGTGAATATTTGCAAGCTGGAATGTGTAGAAGTATTTAGACAGTTGAAACTATTGATTGAAACTAACTTTCAAGTTGTTGAAATACAAAAAATGGTAAATAATTTAAGCTAAAACTTACATAGCACTTAAGATGGATGGGGTACGAGTCTAAGCACTTCATGCATTAACTCATTTGTACTTACAGTAACCCTCAAAGGTAGGTATTGAAGCACAGAGAAGTCAAGTAACTTATCTGAGATCACACAGCTAGTAAGTGGCAAAATCAGGGTTTGAACTCAGGCTTTCTAGCTCCAGTGTCTGTAATCTTTAATCCTTGTACCATACTGCCTACAAAAGATAGAAGAAATAGTCCTATATTTGGGTTATTAAAATTAATTAGACTTAATAGCAGTTTATGTAAAAAAAAATTCAGTGTGAACCTACGGACTGGTAATGTGGCTGCCAGATTAGCTCATGCAGTCTTAGGTTCATTATTAAAACTGGATTAACCAGGTCATCTTTCAAATCCTCCCCCACCCCTTTACTCCATTGCTACTGTCTTAGTTCAGGCCCTTATTCTCTCTCTTGCCTTCACTATTACAGTAGCTGCCTAGTTTATCCTGTCAGACTGTTCTTTCATAAATGCAGCTTTTTTTTTTTTTTTTAAGATTTATTTATTTTAGAGAGAGAGAGAACGAGCACGCAGTATGGGGAGGGGCAGAGGGAGAGAGAAACTTAAGTGGACTCCATGCTGAGTATGGAGTCCAATGTGGGGCTCAATCTCACCACTGTGAGATCACGACCTGAGCCAAAACCAAGAGTCGGATGCTTAAGGGACTTGCCCCCCCAGGCGCCCCACAAATGCAGTTCTCATTGTGTGGCTCCCTTGCTGAAATCCTTTTGTCCAAAGCAGGTTGCACATTTGCTTCCCATGGCCACTTGTGGACATGTAGGATGTGTTGTGGAGGGTCTGTACAGTGGTGGTCTTTTTATTTCCTTTTTGAATTAGTTGGCCACATTTAAAAGACTCATATGAAAGTAGAGCGTGATCTCCTCTTGTAGCCAGTGTCCTACCAGGCCCCCGTCACTCATTGACATTATTGGCCTGATCTCTCTGGCATTTGCATTTGCAACCTCTGGCATAAAGTCTAAGTATCTTTCCTCGAATGTGTGGTACCCAGATCTGAAGACAATTCCTTAGATGTAGTTTGGTCAGTACAGGACACAGTCAGACTAATAGCTTCATTTATTTTCCAAAACATTTGTAAGGTTCCTTGTCTTGCTCCATCACAGTGTTCAGTGCCCATGAAGGGAGAATAAAGATGACACAGTCCCTGCTCTTGGAGCCCAGAGCCCCAGAGAGGAATACAAACATATGAGCAAGGAAGCACCATGGGTCCAGCGATGGAAGTTCCTACAAGGTTTAGGGTGGAGCGTTGTGTTGTGGGAGGGGCTGTCTGAAAAGGCGGGAGAGGACAGGCGCCTCCGTGAAAGCTGGTCTCCGTGAAAGCTGGTCTCGTGGGAGTGAGAGGCGGTGCGAAGGAAGAAG